GCATCTGGATCTGGAAATCCTGCTTGATGTAGTAGACATGAGTCAAAAGACTTCTTTCTGTGTACAGGTGCGCAGCCTAGCTGATTCATCTATCCAAGAATCTTCCAACAGAGAGGAAAAAGTAAGCTGTCATTGTGTTCCTAGATGGAACAGTACAGAAACAACCTTTGTTAGTTGTTTTTCTGTTAATGTAATTGGATGTTGCACATTGGGTAATTTGTAAAAGCATCATTTAGCCTGTGGTTCTGAAGTCTAAAACATAAAAGAGAACAGTGTCAAGGTCTGGTTATTCTGGTGCAACCCTTCTTACATGACAGACAGCATCACCAAAAAAGTCATAAAGAGTTCATTTTTATAACAAAACCACTTGTCTTATCCCCTTTTAGCCAGTATGCCATTAGTAAGTTAATCCAGTAAGGAAAGCAGAGTTCTTATGACCCAATCACCTCTTGTAGGACAGAGAACAAGTTGAAAGGACTCCAAAGACTGTCCATACCTTTTATAACGTGCTTACACCCACAATACTCTAAAGAAGAAAGGTAAAACTTTTTTTCCCAATCAGATAAACAGCTATGTAGTTAGCTCCAAAGACTACTTTGATTTATTTTTATTCAAGGTACATATCTGGAGCTATAATTACAATTGTGATAACTATAAGTTGAAGACAATCCACAGTCTTTCTTCCATGGTCCCTTCTGGTTTTTTTAGGGTATTTGCACAGATCCTATGAATTTCTGTTCCTATATCCTCTACTGCTTTGAAGGGAAAGCTGCTATGGGCAGGTTCTGCTGAGTTGAGGTTTGCTTTTTATTTATTTATTTATGTAAAGAATGCAATTCCAGGAGTTAACACTTGACCATTCTTAACATAAAGACAAATGTGAAGATCTTTCATAGAGAAAAAGTCAAAGCTTGCCTTTATGGACCCCATAGATGCACTTTGATAGAGGGTTGGCATGAAGTTACATTTGACAGTCATCTTCCAAATGTCTTTGTGAATTGTAATGATGCTTCAGGTCCCCAGAGAATGATGTCAACAGAGTACCAGCATCCAGAATTTCCCTTTCTTTGGTGCAGAGTCACAAGCAAAATGGCAATAGATGCTTCACGGTATGCTTGGAGGAAGAGTAACAATCTGGACTCACTGATAGCACTTAGTGAGTACTTCAACCAAATAGTTCTGAATTATGTTCTTGCTTGGCCAGAGGAATTAGGTGAAATACCATGACAAATGATTTCAACTACCCTAGTGTGTGTATAAATAT